TCGGTTCCGGTTCCGTGGTTTTGGTTCCGGTTCCCGGGGTTCGGTTCCGGTTCCGGGGGTTCGGTTCCGGTTCCGGGGGGTTCGGTTCCGGTTCCGGGGGTCGCGGCCTCGCCATTGACCCTCCGCGTGTTCCTCCGCTTTCCCGCCTCTTCCGCCAGCGCTTGCTCTGATTGGCTGCCGCCCCTCTGGCCCCGCCTTCCCCTCTCCACCATTGGCCGCTCGCCGAGCCCCCATTGGCCAGCTGCCCCCTGGCCCCGCCTTCCACCCCCATCCCTCTCCTCTGATTGGCTTTCCCCTTCCCGACCGCGCATTTCCCATTGGCTGCCCGTCCCGCGCATGCTCTTTGCCTCACACCAACATGGCGGCGTCCGTGGCGGCCCGAGCGGCGGGCTGGGGGCTCCGGGGGGCGCTCCGGGGACGGCGGGGCCGGGCCGAGCTCCCCGCGCTGCCCCCGCCGGGCCCCGCCGGGCCCCGCCGCCCCCTCAGCGGCCCCGACACGGCCGCGGTGCTGCGGGAGCGCCTGCGGCAGCGCCAGGTGGGGACACGCGGGGGGGCCCGCGCGGGGCCGCGGCCTCGGGAGGGGCGGGCCCGGGGGGGGCCCAAAATCCGCGGCCACCCCTGAGTGTCACCGGGGGGACCCTGAGTGTCACCGGGGGTCACCGAGTGTCACCGGGGGTCACTGAGTGTCATCGGGGGTCACCGAGTGTCACCTGGGGTCACCGAGTGTCACCGGGGGTCCCCAGAAATCCGCGGCCACCTCTGAGTGTCACCGGGGGTCACCGAGTGTCATCGGGGGGTCACCGAGTGTCACCTGGGGGCCCTGAGTGTCACCGGGGGACCCTGAGTGTCACCGGGGGGTCACCGAGTGTCACCGGGGGTCCCTGAGTGTCACCGGGGGTCACCGAGTGTCACCTGGGGTCACCGAGTGTCACCGGGGGTCCCCAGAAATCCGCGGCCACCCCTGAGTGTCACCGGGGGTCCCCAGGGTTCCCGAGTGTTCCCGAGTGTCACCGAGTGTCCCCGGGGGTTCCCGAGTGTCCCCGAGTGTTCCCGAGTGTTCCCCGAGTGTCCCCCGAGTGTCCCCTGAGTGTCCCCGAGTGTCACCGAGTGTCCCCCGAGTGTCCCCAGTGTCCCCAGGTGTCCCCAGGTGTCCCCGAGTGTCCCCAGGTGTCCCCTCCGCCAGTGCTCGGGGTCCCCCCCCTCGTCCCCAGGTGTCCCCAGGCCTCGCCCGGCTCTCGGATCGGTGTCCCTGCAGGTGACAGGTGACACCCCGGGTGTCCCTGGTGTCCCCGGTGTGACATCCTGCTGTCCCCGCAGGTGACAGGTGTCCCCCCGCAGGTGACACCCCGGTGTGACCAGGTGTCCTACTGTCCCCGCAGGTGTCCGGTGTCCCCCCTCCGGTGACAGGTGTCCCCCCGCAGGTGACAGGTGTCCCCCCACAGGTGACAGGTGACCCCCTGCAGATGACACCCCGGTGTGACCAGGTGTCCTGCTGTCCCCGCAGGTGTCCGGTGTCCCCCCTCCGGTGACAGGTGTCCCCCCGCAGGTGACAGGTGACCCCCCGCAGGACGAGGGTCGCTCTCGGGGGTCTCTGCGGCTCCTGGCTCTGCGCCTGGGGGGGCTCCTGGCAGCCACCGGCGGCGCCGCCGTGCTCTACATCTTCGGTGTGTCACCTGTGTCACCTGTGTCACCTGTGTCACCTGTGTGTGTCACCTGTGTGTCACCTGTGTGTGTCACCTGTGTC